CATAGTAAGTCTGAATCTTTCAATAAAAAATAGAAGTGCAATGGAAGCAAGGTAGCAGCTGTCTGATCTGTAATAACTAAATTCACTTTCACCATCAAACACAACTCACATAATGATCTTGTTGAATTATATAACATACATATAAAGTACATGAACTTTTGATGTGGAATCATACTAAAGAGTACCATTAATCTGGAAGAGTATACAACTTCAAAGGGAAGATAAGAAGTTGGGTAGACAAATGGTCAAGTTAATCAGATAACTTCATTATAGCACCATCAAGATAAATGACATTTTGCCATTAAATTTAAGAATGCTGCAACTTTCTCTCTAAGGAGAAAATAAGAACATTTTCCTTTGAATGTATGTGTGTATATATATATTTCAAGCGAGCAAGCCTGGCCTATATGTATATGTGCACACGTATATTGGTGTGTATATATATATATATATATATATATATATACACACACATATAGAGATAGGCGTGTTTTTAGCTTTACGGAACACTACAGCAATGCCAACCCTTGAAATAAATTTGTTTACACCAGGCAAAATGCTCTCCTCTCCTGTGTCAGAACTTCGGGGGATGAGTACAAAGTATTTATAGCTGTGCAACAGACATGTGGCTGATAGGACCCTGTGTGGCAGGGCATTCTTGGGACAGTGCTGACAGTTATTCCTTCCCCTGAGGCTTGGCTTCCATCAGCTGCAACAATTCGCTTTCTTGGAAGACAGTGACAGATGTCAATCTCAGGGAAAAGGCTGTCTGTATACAGGCCATCATCCCCTCCAGTGTTCTGGAGGGGTGACTTCAGTCATTGTGCTAAGTAAAGGTGAGAAAGGCAACAATCTGAGTTCATTATTTGTTATTTCTTGCCTCCAAAGTACATTTACCTGGTAAATGAGCCACTCCCACCTTGAAAACTAACACGGAGAGACACTGTGTCTCCAAGAGAGACACAGAGTGGATGCGGATGTTTGCTATGCAGGCACTACTTCTCTGGCGACATTGAATGTCTGAATGCAGCCGAGAGCCATGAAGTAATCCCCACCGAAATGCTAGAGTGAGGGGAGGGAGCGAGAACGGCTCACCTTGCTGGAAATGTCTGTTTGGGGTCAGGTGCTGTGAGAGGCTCTTTTCATATACAAGCTCATTCATTCTGGATGGGAGCCCTTGCCTAGGAAGCATGGATAATTATTTCCATTCTAGAAATGTGGAAGTTAAAGCTCGACGAGGTTAAGTACACACGTCCAAGGGTCCAAGGTCATTCAACTATTCTATGGAGACACCATCATTTGAATCCAGTTTCTCCGCCTGGAGGGCACAAGGCCCGTACTCTTCTTTCCCCTAATATGACCTTCCTGATCGAATCCACCTGTACCAGAACTTAGGCAGGACTTAGTGGTTTGTGTGGGAGTCAAGAACTCAACACACATACTCAAGGGCTATTTACAAGCAATCCAAATTAAGTTGGATTATCTGGCATCCTGTCCGGTTCCAATAAGAAGCTCCCAGGGAAACGGGGGGAGTGTGTAAAGAAGAAAGAAGGACGGGATGAGGGGATGGACAGGCACGCTGAGGGCGAAGAGATGAGAGCTGGGTCTGTTCTACCTTATACAGCTTAATATCCCCCTGCAGAACTCACTGTGTTCTGTGTAAGACTGACAACCGTAATAATTTGCTTGTGTTCAGCAGCCTTAGGAAGAAGGTAGAGAAACACGTAACACTTACTGAGTACGACTTTCATCAAGAAAAGTTGAGCAGAAATAAGAACAGGTGCTTGAACAGGGTTAACTTCTGGCAGAAAGACAACCAGCCCGTGGTGAGCACCTGGTCCCTCCAGGAGGCCGGGTAAAGGAAGCACCGGTGTAGTGTTAGATTTTCTTATCTGTACTATTTGACCTTTCTGATCTCCGGGAGATAGTCGCTCATTCTTAGAACTAGGTTTCTAATCTACTATTGTTTTCCTTTAAAAAAAAAATGGTTTTCGTTGTTCAATAGCAGTTGTCCCCATTTCCTCCCAATTACTCTCCCCTGCCCTGCCCACGCCACCGCCCGCCGTTGTACAGAGCTCTTCCTACATGAAGGTCTGTTTACGATCTCTGGTCTTGTAACCTGTGAAGACGGCATGTTAAAATAGGAGATGGAGGTGGCGTGACGCGTGTGTGCGCGAGCTCGTGTGCATGCGTGCGTGGTGGTGGGCGATGGCCTTGCAGCCAGACAGCCCTGGGTCTGCACTTGGCTCCCCAGTTTCGCTGTGTGGCCTCGACAGGCTCAGCCTCTTTGCCACAGAGGTTCTGCAACTGCAATGCTGAGACAAGGACATCCACCGCTGTCCTTTGGGGAACAGATCTAACAGATCTATCTTACCACCTCTTTGCTGCTTTTCTTTTTTTTTTTTTAAGATTTTATTTTATATTTAGAGAGAGGGAAGGGAGAGAGAAAGAGAGGGAGAGAAACATCAAGGTGTGGTTGCCTCTCATGCACTCCCCACCACGGGCCTGGCCCACAACCCAGACATGTGCCCTGAGTGGGAATCGAACCTGGGACCCTTTGGTTCACAGGCCAGTACTCAATCCACTCAGCCACACCAGCCAGGGCTCTTTTCTGCTTTTCTTATGAGTCAAACCTAGGATCAAAGAAAACAACTGATGGTCTCCCAAAACACCCTGAGGGGTAGATTCTCTAGACTGGTGTGCACTACCTAGATATAGGGTCCCTTTCTGTCCTTCCACAGGGACTGTGAGATCTCAGGGCAGGCAGTCAAAAGGTTTCTTTATTCCTTCTCTCCTCCCCTTGGATGCTCTTCTCTCTTGGGGTAGGAGCCCGGCCCAAGGCTACTGGTGCAGCCTGCAAAGGGCAGCAGCTTAAGCAGCTGGGTACCAGGCAGTGGGGACACACTCACTCTTCGGCTGGCCACCTCCTGCTCCCTCCCTCTCCTTGGTGGTTGGTGATGATGCTTTAGTATCCTTTCCTCACAGGACACTAGTCAGGCTCTGCCACTCACCTTTTGGTTAGAGTATACTGACAGACGGCTAAGGCTAAACTTAGGGAAGAGCTCTCTCCACAGGGTCCAGACTTATTTACTGCCATTTTTCAAATGCCTTGGAATTCAGAACCCCAGTTAACAGTGAATACTAGTCTGCCTTTCTTTGGTCGGGTGTTTCTTGTGGGGACCTTCAAGGAGACAGGCATGGAAGAGGTCGGAATACAGCTCACTCCATCAGAGCACCATCCGCGTAGGGGCTGAGCGATGTCCATTCTCCACAATGTTAGGAGGACTTAATGATAGGGTGCATAGAAAAACACACCTCACCTATGCCTGGCTATTCAACACCAGCTCATGCTCAATAAGTACTTATTTCCTCCCCCGCCCCCTTATCTTGTCCCTTACTCATTACAAAGTTAGTGTGAGAAAGAAACCTAGTGCGAACTTGAACATGGTTTTTCGTTTTCCTGCGGCACCGACAGCACAGTGATCCGATCACAGTGCAACTTCCCTGCTGGAAGAGTGACGCTTCTGCGAATGACTAGTAGGTGCTACCTGTCACCCATGCGTGGAAGTCCTGGGTCCTCTGCTCCAATGTCCCTTTCTCCTTCACAGGTAATAAACTATGCCTTTGCTGTATTAGTTAGTTTTTGTTTGAGACCACAAGAAAGAAACCATCAGGACAACATTTTGACAGGTTTACTGCTAGTTTTGTCTTAAATCTTTTCAAAGATGAGGCTTCTGTGTTCTCAATGTTGTTCATGGTCAAATGATTTTCCATTTTTTTCCCTCACCGAGATGGTTTCTCCATGTTGTAAATTTGTGAGTACTCATGGGGCATCTACTGTGTTCAAAGTTCCATGCTGGGGGCTTATCACTCAACGACTTTATAAAGGGCATAACAGATCCCTACTTCTGGATGAGAAAGCCGAGGTGAAGAGGGATAGAACGTCCCAGAGCTTGAGGATCCACAGCCTGGATGTTGCTTTGAAAAATACTTGCATATCACAAAGGACAGCAAGTACACGTCTCCCTCCTCCGCCCAAATACACAGTGAGTGTCATGTGTTACATCTAAGAGATCTCTTGGGGTCTCAGGAGTCTGTCTGCAGTCCCCTTTTTGCCCTTATACCCCAACTCTGCCATGAAAGGAGTTACCCCGAACACAGTGGAAGTGTACCCGAGTGCTCTGTTCAGGGTAAAACCACCCAGCTCAGTGGCTAGAAAGCGTATTCCTGTCAAAGACAGACTCTGTCAGCGACACTCTAGGGCTGTGGAGAGAATCGTGGGGTCGGAACACTGGTTCTGCTCTGGGTCGGTCCTCTAGAGGCTGTGGATTTTTTGGCATCTCCTCTAGACTCTTATTGCTTCATCAGACAGGGAAAATAAGGGACACATACCTAAAAGGGTGTTCTGAGAACCCACTAAGGTGTGGTCTGTTTGCAGACTGTCTCACTGACCTCTTCAGTTACTTGTTCCCTGGCTTTCCTCACTGTTCCGTAAATTCCACGCTATCAGGGAGCCAGTCTGTGTACTTCACTGTGGGATCTGCAAAGGCAGGCACACAGCACTGCCTGGCACACAGCAAATGTTCAAAAATATCTGTGGATAAATGAACTGTGTACTTCGCAAAGCACTGAAAACGGTCCTTCTTTGTAGTATTATTAAGAAATTTTAACTGGAGTTTGCATTAGATTAACCTTTCATAAATAGTAGTACTTTAAACCAGAAGTGAATCCAGGCAGTCAATATTTAAGTTCAAATGATGATCCTGCTCCTATTTTTTGATGTTTCCCTTGAAATTATTACTAGTTTTTTTTTCTTTCTCCAAATGATATCTGATATGAGCATTTAAATCACATGAAATGAAAATGGTGAGCCTACATTTCTTGTTTCTAATTTTTGTAACCTCCAAGAGGGTTTCTGGGTTTTGCTGATTATTCTGCAATTTCCAGGTTCTCTCCAGATGTGAAAAAATCGCTTACTTGGTTGAGATGCTCGTACTTACTTGATGAAGTACTTGATACCATCTGCTGTGTAAGCTTCCTCCCACCCGTAAGGTAGACCTAGAGTAAAAGGAAACCAAAAATACATTTAATAAGATGATAAAGATAATCACATTTCCTAGACACTGACTTCCCACATCTTCACAATGCTTTGAGTACATTTCTCATACAAAATGACTTTCCAGAAAAGAGGAATTAAAACAATTCAGATGAGCTTTCATACTTAGCTTCTTCAGAACATAATAAATAAGCCCCGAACAGTTCATCTGCTTTAGTTACATTAACTGGATTATGACTTGTCCTTTACATGTGGTGAGAGTGTTTTGGTCAGCAGGATTCAAGTAACAATTTTTGGTGCAGGGGATGATTTTTGCCTGGAGGCAGAAGGATGGACAAGATGGCCTCTGCTTGTTTCTTCTGGCTCAAAGGTTCTTTAATTGGCTCCTTTTACATCACTGAACTCGGTGGAACCAGGAATGAATAGTGTGCATGAATGCCGGGTCAGCACGGGTTTGAAAGTAGCTTTTGGCCAAGAGAGAATTCCTTATGAAGTTTACAAGTTTAGCAAAGTGATTTACAATGGATTATGGTGTTATATTTTATTTAAGCATTTTGTGTGCTAAACATAAGCGACCAAATGTTTTGCTAAACTTACCTCCTGTTTCTGTAATGGGATTAATAGTTAGCTATTAAGAGATGCACATTGAAGCAGGAAATTATTTGGCCATATTTCTGCAAATGAATACACTTTTGTCCTCATTACCCCATGAAAACAGGCCCAGGCTGAGGTGGCCACATTTTCTTATATTCCAATCTGAACCCTCTAGAACACAATGGCTTCTATCCCTGCACTCCATCCCTGAGTACTGCTAAGGATTTTCATTGACCTTTTGGATCAGTCCTTGATGCGGGCTTATCAAGGCTCCTTTGCCGGGTATAAGACAGATGAACGCACCAAAGAAAGAACTCCGAGCTCAGGGAGCCTCCTGTTTGGAGAGGAACGGGGCTGTACCAACAAATCGCCGACTCCCATTCACCCGAGTCTCAGCAAGAGGCAGACCAAAGGTGCAGAACAGTGACTATGTGAATGAAAGAAAACCTTACACTACACCACCATTTGCTTTGTAAAGAATATTCTTTGACAGCAGTTCTCAGAATGTTGTTTCTGTAATGAAGGAAAGCCAAACAAGATTTATTTTATATTTACCTCCAGTCTAAAATAAGTTGTATAAAATCAGACCCTGGTTAAAAAAAAATCCATAACTATTTCCTTCCTAGGTAAACACAGGCCACCTAGGAATTTCTTTTCTCTCTTAATGAATGCATGTTCCTATTTTAAGTAGAAAATGAGCACTTATGGGAATTCAGCATAAGCAATTGACTGGCTTCTTGAAAAGTCCCGAAGTGACACTTCCCACATCTCCTCCAGTGTCCGGGGCCGGCACGTGCTCAGCCGGCCAGACCGGGAGAAACCTGCGGCTGCGCCCGGGGGAGCAGAGGCGTTTTCTCTTGCCGCATCCTCGGATCCTTGGTTACAGAGCACTTCATTCACCACTGACGAGCCCCTCGCCTGCAGTCAAGAATCTGACAGCTGTACATAACGACCCTGCCTTCAGGACAAAAATGCCCAGAAATAACAGGGTTTCTGACCAATAAGGCAGTAAGGCAAACGCAGGTGAATGTTAAGTTGAAAGACACCCTCATGTGATTAAGACTTTTTAAAAAGATTTTATGTATCTATCTTCAGAGGGGAAGGGAAGGTGAAAGGGAGAGAAATATCAATGTGTGGGTGCCCCTTGTGGGTCCCCTGCTGGGAACTGGCCTGCAACCCAGGCATGTGCCCTGACTGGGAATCAAACCGCGGTTGTTTGGTCCGCAGGCCTGCACTCAATCCACTGAGCTACACCAGCCAGGGTGTGTGATTAAGACTTTTGTCTGAATGATCTATTTGTCTGTCCAGCACAATTATATCCATACTTTTCATTTCTTAATTTATAGATTTTTAATGAACAGGAGAAAAAATGTATACTTTAAAGATAGTAACTTTTAACCCACAGGCTCACTTGAAAATCGAGATTGACAGTGAGATACCACCTCACCTGTGCCTCCAGAAGAGAATTCCTCCCCAGTTCATTTTCTTACAATTATTGAACAGGGACTATAACTTCACAACAGACTATTCAGGGTGCAAATTCATATCTATTTAAGTCAAATTGTTATTTGACGACCTTAGCCATCAAGATATTACAGTACATTAAGTCATATGCATAGCTTACTTTAGGATAAATTCTCTGTTCTGAAAAAAATAATCGTTTCTTTTTAGAAGACTGAATGGTTTCTTCTTTTTCAAGCAGTGAATATATTGTAAAAAACAGACTTGGAGACTAAATTGGTAGTAACTATCTCTCAGTCATGTTTCAGTAACAGAAAACACAATGTCCAATTATAAGCTGGAAAATGGAATATACTAATAAGCCAAATAGCCTACTTAATATTAAAAAGCACAGTGATTTCCACAAGCTTATATGATTATGATGAACTCAGTTTTCCATTAGTAAAGGTTTTCTTTTCTTCACAGTATGTATTTGGGGCATAATTATAACATATTATCTAAATATTTTTCAATAATAATCATTGTTCCCAGGCATTAAAAATTGTCTACATTCCTCATATCATTATACTTACAAATACATAATGCTCCTATTTTTCCTTTTTCTTTTCATATTTTTAAAACTTGTTATAACAAGTTACTACGATCCCTTGAAATCGTTTCTGATTGGAATTATTTACCCAGGAACCTCACATAACCTTCCACCCCTCAGAGACCATCTGTTTCCAATCACACACGTCACGGTGATGACGCTAAAATCTCTGTGAGGATCTCGCCAATTAAGAGTACTGTACAATAGTCAACTTAGAATACTAGCTGCCACCTGAATATCACACATCCAAAAACAAATTCATCACCTTTCCATACAAAATAGTTCCCTTCCAATTTCCCAGGCTACTTAAGTGCCAAGATTCTCTTTGTCACACTGGCCCCTTTATTAAATATTTACTGATCACTTATTATGTGTTCAGCATTTTATTTGGTGCTCAATATACAATGATGAACAATTAACATGGACCTTGATCTTATGGAGCTTTAAGAAATAATCATAAATAAAGACATCATTAAAAGTAGGAATAAGTACTGTGAAGCAAAATTATTGAATACTATGAAAGACTAACTCCTAGCACAAAGGCACAACTCCCTAATACATAAAGAACTCCTACAATCAATCAGTAAGGAAAAAAAATCATTGATAATTAGGAGTCTGTGAAACCTGTGGAATGTTTAGGACACAGGACGAGAAAATGCACTTAAACCCATGAACTTATGCTTAACTTTGCGCTGAATAAGAGAAATACTCCCATGAGAGATCTCTATGTGCCACCGAATCCAGAAACTCTTCTAGGAATGTATCCTACAGATATACTTCACATACAAGATTATTAACTATAAAAGCAAAAGACCAAACAATCTAAATATCTACCAAGAGGACTGATTAGAGCAAGGCAGTATACCCAGATAATGGGCTACTGTCGAGCTGTGAAGAGGAACGAGGAAGTGATTTGTGCTCGGATCTGGACACAGGGTTCAGACCTCCGGGAAGGATCTTCGGAGGAGCTGGGGTTATCCAGGCACAGACGCGGGGAAGGACTGCGGGCTGAGTGGACAGCGTGTGCGAAGGCTCTGCAGTGGGGAAGCGCTTGGCACAACCGAGTAAGTGAGCCCATTGTTCTGGGAGCGCAGGGAGGGAGGGAGGGGAGCGGTGCAGACATGACTATGCATGGGTTCTGCAGGCCGTGTTAAACTTGTTTGAAAGTTTCTTAAAAAGGAAGCAGATCTGCTCCTGTTTAAGACCAAGAAAACTGCAAGAGAGAGTTGCTTCCACCATATGTGGGAAAAGATGCACAACTTTAAAAAAAAACAATGTATTTTGAGCTCCTCGGAAACTGAGTTCCTCACCTGAGCTGACTCTTGGGTGAGCTAAATTCCAAAGGGGTGACAAGCTTCTCTGAGGAAAGACGGGGCAAATGAACTCCTTCCGTGGTGACAGAGCACAGGAAGATGAGGTGTAGCCATAAAAATGGGTCAGAAGAAAACATCCAGTAAGTTAACAGATTCATAGAGTTTGACTATGGACTAGGATTCCCAAGAGTCCGAGGCACAAGGAGGGCCTGCTCTCCCCAAAGAGCTCTTGGCTCAGGGGAGAGATGGGGGGATGGGCGGGAGACCTGAAAGTCCCCTGGGTGGTGCAGGCTCAGAAGCACCTGCAAAGGCTCCTGGGTGGAGCAAGCGTGCCATCTGCGCTGGCCCTGCAGGAGCTCAAGCTGGTGACCCACAGCTATAGGCGGGACAGTGGCATAACCTGCAGATGCTCGGACCCTCCTCTGAGGGAAAGTAATAGCCCGCTGCTGCTGGGGAGAGGAGAAAGTGGCTCCCACACCCTGGGGAGAAGTCTGAGTGACATGAGGCAAAAGCCATCTGTTCCTGGGAGAGAGGCAAAAAGTTGTCACATCCCCCGAGGGTAGGTGGGGAGGGCATGGACACCTGATGTCTTCATCATGCACTGACACTAAGGCACCACAGGGGCCAGAGCAGGAAACCTTCCAAATCTAGAATCCTGTGCTGGTGCAAAGCAGACTCCGCCGTCCAAAAGGAGAAGGGCAGGAAGCCCACCTAGGCACCGAGCAGGAGGCGGGGTTGTTTGTCACCCCTGAGACGCAGGCAACACAGGGTCTGCCTAAACCAGAGAATGGAGCAGGGAAACCAGGAGCCTCTCCTCAACCCTCCTCTCCCCTCACCCACCAGCAACCTGGCCCTGTGGCAAAAGCAACAGCTGTGCACCTGGAGGTGAGGGCGAGAGAGCGGACACCGAGCATCCACAGAAGCAGGAGTGGTACTGGGGAAGGCGCAGGAGTACCGAGAAAAACCCTCCCGCACTTCAGACCCCACGTAAGCACAAACAGAGCCGCACACGACTGCTGCAGGAAGCTGAAGTCTGCGGTGAACT